AATTGAATTGAATTGAAATATGGGTTCAGCTAATGTGGAAGTCATCTGTCTTTGACATAATCTTAGCCTTGTTGGACTGTGATAGAGCCTAACTGTATAATATTGGCCTTGGCCTTATTGTGTTGCACAATAAGGTACAATATCTTTGGCTCTGAGAAAATGTAATTTGACGAGTATGAAAGGCAACAGTTTGTGTTACTACACCCTTCTGTGCTTTTTCAATATTTGTGCAATATCTCTGGTTCTGAGAAAGCTGTAATGTAATATCATGAAAAGGCCTTGTGTATGCTTCTCTGTAATGATGAAATGCGGCACTCTGCAGCACACAGTCTTTTGTGTGTCTTGACCTGTCTGCAGCATACTGTAATATGACACCACATCTTCTGATCCATGTTGTTGCAAGATGTATGTAAAGGCTGCTGTGTAGTATGTAATTGATCATTATTTTTGTCACTCACTTCAAGGTAGCTCAGTAAAAATCGCACTGTTCAGAGGATGAACCAAAAACGCGATCCGTCTTTTTCTTCTGTAGTGGATAGAGTGCATTCTGATGCAAAATTCATTTTGTTAACAGCAATGCTCTTTATTCCACGCAGCAGTCAATCCTTCATTTTGAGAGGCCTGAGCAAGAGAATTACATGATTCATCAAGCAGGCTACTCCAATAAATTGGATAGCTGATACTACCATCAAAATTGCCATTAAATGAATTGTAAGTGTGAAATAGAATGGTGATATGTCTGACATAGCTCAGTAATAAATGTAGTGCAGGGGAGTGGTGAGTTTCTAGGAAATTATAGTGAAAAAGTGGTGACTTTGTATTTTGAAGTGCTCAAGTAATATGTTTACACTGAACAATATGGTATAAAAAAGAGTAATTACCAAGGACCGGGTAATGAAGAAATCAAGAACTAACTAATTACTGAATAGCTAATTAATAGTTAATGGCTCTTCCTGAAAAAAACTCAGAACAGACTGACACTGTGTTCATGAACCAGGGTCTAATGATTAGTTACTAGATATCTGTAAATCTGCACTCTAAGCACTTTTATTAATTAATTGTTCCCAATTTACTCAGAATTGTGTACTAAATTACCCAAAACCAATCACTAATCATTACTGCCCTATTATGAACATGTTATTTTCTGTCCCCTCGTGCAGTGCAGCATCAGACTAAATACCATATATATAGAATATACTTTGTGGTCGCCTTACTGTTACTATTTTTTGTGTCTCCTTCTGTAGAAAAAACTCCTAGAAATCTGAGAAATAGCAACTCATTTTTGAGTGAGAATGAAATCTTCGTTCATAAATGACACAAGGATGACAAAGAATTCTAAAAGGATTTTAAAGATAAAAACCCATAATATTCAGAGCATTTACATTTATTTAAATATTCACATTATAGCTGTAACCATGTAGCTATTCATTAATTATCCATTATTACTTGATTTATTTTGTACTCGTTCCTTCTCAACTACTCTAGTAGTGTTGCAACAAGTGAAGTGTTCTCAGTAGTAGTAATGAATGCTACTCCTCCTCCATGTGCCAGGCGGTGGTGCAGACAGTGGATAACTTGCTGCGTCCCGAGGCCCTGGAATCATGGCAGGACAAGAACAGCACTGAGCAGGCTCATACTGCCACCATGCTACTGGACGTCCTAGAAAAAGGAGCTTTCCTGCTGGCCAACAACATGTATGGGAACCGCTTTTCTGACCGAGCACTCAGCATTGGTAAGAAAACAGCACAGTCAATGGTGTTATTTATGATGAATGTATGAGGGAGCCACGGTTTGGATTATTTTTAGTGGAACTGTACCTCCAGGTTGTGACTCTAGATTTCTCTTGGGTGTTTTTTTTTTTTTTTTTGCATCTTTAACAGTGGGGTCTTCATAAAATATTTGCGTGCTGTGTTTCTGCCACCAGATCTCGAGGTGCATGTTCTAAACACAGAGATGGACCTGCAGGACTTGTCTTTCCCACAGAACTATGCCAGCGACAGCACCATCCAGCTCTCGGCGTCTACTATCAAGCAGTACAGTCGCAATGGTCAGCAGCCCTTATCCCACCCCATCTTCACCCCAAGGCCTGAAAAATTGCACTGTCCTGTGCAGCCGGCTCTTATGTTTCCATTTGCATTTTCATGCAAGCTTAAAACAATCTGCATGCAGTTGACTAAGTTATTGGTTCATAATAATAGGCTAATCAGATTAACAAAAGTGCTGAGACAATTTCTTTTCTTGATGGTTTCTTAACAGCAGTCTTAATAGAATAGCTGGGGAGGCGTGTAGATTACAATCGGCCCCAGTCTGACAGAGCAATCTCAGCACTCCCTCTCTTCTCTCTTCCCCATTCCATTCTCTCGCTCCGTCTCTCCGCCATCTTATCCCCCTCTCTCATCTCTCTTGTTTCTAACCCCCCTCTCTGTCATCCCCCTCTTCATCGCTCCCCTCCTCCCTCCGTGGCCCCTCATCCCATACCCTTTTCTGTTTTCTGTCTCCGCTCGGCTCTGCAGTGGGAACGAGATTAGAATGATTGAAACAAACGCACATGAAATATTCATATGGAATAATAAGAGATCTGTGAATGCTTGAGGGATGAATGTTCCATTGCCCTCCACATTAAATCTCGCTCTCTTCCACCAGTCAAAATGAAACGGTCCTTACCATCATTCTAACCTTCACTAACTCTCTCTCTCTGTCTCCCTCTCGCTCCCCCTGTCACTCCCCACTCTCTATCTCTGTCACTCTGGCTGGCATTACCATATTATGCCCCCATTTCTGTATTTGGTCTTTTTTTTCCCCCTCCCTCCTCCTCCTTTCTGTCTGTATCTTTTCATATAACATCTGCTTTTTTTTGCTTCCCTTTCTTTTCACTTTTGTTCACATTCTCTCCCTTTCATTCTCTTTCTCTTCATCTTTTTTTGTGTTTCTTTCCCTCCATGTGCAGGACAAATCAAGGTGGTGTTCATTCTATATAAAAACCTGGGGGCCTTCCTGTCCACTGAGAATGCCACAGTGAAGGTGGAAATGGAGGGGTTAAGCCACGATAAGAAGCGCCTGGCGGTCAACTCCCATGTTATTGCTGCCTCCATCAACAAAGAGTCCAGCAGAGTGTTTCTCACTGAGCCGGTGGTCTTCACACTCAAACACCTACAGGTGACCTAATTCAACCCTTATCATGCTTAATTTACATTCGGACACATGGACTGCCATGAACATTTTCCATCAGCCCACTCTTTGTTTTCTATTTCCCACAGTTGGAAAATTATTACACTCCAAATTGCTCTTTCTGGAACTACTCTGAGCGCTCCATGACAGGCCAGTGGTCATCGCAGGGCTGCAGGCTGCTGGACACCAACAGCACACACACCACCTGCTCCTGCAGCCACCTCACCAACTTTGCAGTGCTCATGGCTCACCACGAGCCGGATGTAAGTAAACAAGGGCGTGGCAGACACACGGTTAAAATGGAAGCCGAGTAATTTATGCAGACGTTCATTCGTGCGAGCATTAGCGTTCGCTCACTCTCAGTCACACAGCCTCACACACATGCACATTAATGTATCCTCTCAAGGCTGACAAGCTCTTTGTTTTGAATTTTCTCTTTTCCTTCTTTCACTCCGACATTCAGGGAGGCACATGCTTACAAATTCATGTCCTGCTACTTCTAGCTGACATTCACATGAATTTGAATGTCATGTATTGTTTTTTTCAGGACGTCTTGTCTCTTGTCTCACACTTTAGCTCCTTGCATATATTTACAAATATTAAATAAAGCAATTTTGCTCTTTCTCTCCCCTCCCCCATTTTGTCTATCTATCCCCCTATTTTTTCTTCCTTCCACTGTTCTCCCATCTATCTCTGTACTCCTCATCTCCCATTCCGCTGTCTTGTCCTATATTTTTCCTTCTCTATTCTCTATGTCTGATCCTGCTGTGTATCTATGTCCCTCTGCCCTCCTTTTTTCCCCCCATTCCTCTCCACACTCTCAACTTCCCACCCTTGTTTATGCCACACTACCTGGACCTCAGTACCAGGGGCGAATGCATGAACTGATCCTGTTTGTGATCACCTGGGTGGGGATTGTCATCTCCCTGGTGTGTCTAGCCATCTGCATCTCCACCTTTTGCTTCCTGCGGGGCCTGCAGACCGACCGCAACACCATCCACAAGAACCTCTGCATCAACCTCTTCATCGCCGAGCTGCTCTTCCTCATTGGCATCGACAAGACAGAATACCATGTGAGTTTGAGGCCACATGTTAGCCTGATACCTGCCAGGGATGTTCATGTTTAATGCATGTTTTTTGGGAGGGTGGGGGTTTGGAAAGGAAACATATTTTGACTGTTCTTTGACATGCCTGTGCACCTTGTGAAATTGAATCAGGTTAGTTTTTGTATTTTCCAACTTGAAAATGACACAGAGAGTTACAGTGTAACACAACTTTTTTTCACTGAATGGTGACTGTGAAACTGACATTGAGGCAGTGTGTCAATACATTACTCTATAAAACATTTACTGCACTGAGTAGTGAATTACCATTCAATAATATGCACAGAGTCAGTCACCCAGGGGGCAGCTTTTCATTTTCATCTGTGAATATCCAAAACTACTACTTGGCTCATTCTTTCCTGTTTTTCACTGCAATGCAATGTGCATTGATCTCAACTGTTTCGTTTCCTTCATCTGAATACTTTCTATCCTCAGATTGCTTGTCCCATCTTTGCTGGTCTTCTGCATTTCTTCTTCTTGGCTGCTTTCTCCTGGATGTGTCTGGAGGGTGTGCAGCTCTATCTCATGCTGGTAGAGGTCTTTGAGAGCGAGTACTCCCGCAAAAAGTACTACTATCTGTGCGGATACTGCTTCCCTGCGCTGGTGGTGGGCATCTCTGCGGCCATAGACTACAGGAGCTATGGGACCAAGAAAGCGTACGTGTGAAGACAGGCCTTTTGCACCTGCAGATTGAGAAGTAGGATTATGCTATTCCCCCAGCTGGAAATGTAATATGCAGTGCTGTGTGAACGGCTCTTGCACCTCCCCATGGACTGGCTTTTCTGAACACACTTAGCCAAAGCCTGATGATTAGCCTTCATAAGATAATCCGCTGAGACAGGGAAATAGTGTGTGTGCTTGTCTGCCTGTGTGTGTGCGTGTGTGTGCACGTGTCTGATTGTGCATGTGTTTGTTCGTGAGCTTAGTTGCGTGTAACTCTCTCTTCTCCTCTGTGCCACTCCAGATGCTGGCTGCGAGTGGATAACTACTTCATCTGGAGCTTCATTGGACCCGTTTCATTTGTTATTATGGTATTAGCTTTACTGTCTGACAGTATTATTCCCCTCTCTATTTTGATATCACTCAGTCAAACCCAAATAATTGTACCATGCTTGCTTTGTGAGGTTATTTTTGGAGAGTTCACAAGACATTTATTTGATTTTTCCTATCTTCTGTCCTTAGCTCAACCTCATTTTCCTCATGATCACATTACACAAGATGATCCGCAACTCTTCAGCACTCAAACCTGACTCCAGCCGCCTGGATAACATTAAGTGAGTTTAAATTATTCAATGGGAGTCATACTCCTTGAAACAAGTGTTTTCAAGAAACATAAGTTAATGATAAATAAACCGCAAAGACAGATGCATTCCAAATTGATTCCATTTCTCTGTGTATCAAGTCATTTTCTGTGTCCACTTCCATTAGGTCGTGGGCTCTGGGGGCCATTGCTCTGCTGTTCCTGCTGGGGCTGACGTGGGCCTTTGGCCTCCTCTTTATCAACGAGAACACAGTTATCATGGCCTACCTCTTTACCACCTTCAATGCCTTCCAGGGCATGTTCATCTTCATCTTCCATTGTGCCCTGCAGAAGAAGGTAACAATACAAGACTTGAAGAGTTACTGTATATGAGTAAGCAGATGAATGCTGTGGAAATGGATGAATGTCTGATTGATATTCAGTATATATGCTCAGAGTGATTGCAGTAAGTACATATTGCTGTTGCCGTGTGTTAAAAGCCTCTGTTGGTCTACATTGAGTCCAGGCTATTGCCACTATTGAAAGTGTTTGTGTTTATGAGTGGCTTTAAAACCTGCCCACTGTGCTGGTGATGTTATTTTTTTACAGGTCCATAAGGAGTACAGTAAGTGTCTGCGTCACTCCTACTGCTGCAGTCGCACCTCCACCACCAGCTCCCACGGCTCCCTGAAGAACTCAGGCCTGCGTGCCAACAACCGCTACTACAGCGGCAGCCAAGCTCGCCACGCAGCGGCCCACAGACAGGTGCAGGCAGGATGGAACCACACACATAAATTATGGCACACACAAAGCAGTATGCACACAATGCAGGTGCTCGGTTTGTTCATCTTTCCACATCAATCAGACCACTGTTGAGCTTTAAAATTGTGTTTTTCTTGGAAAAAATGAAAAGTAAATCTGCCTGTGCAGCAAAAAGATTTTACTCGTTTTCAGTGCAAATCAGCTTGTTTCAGTAGAATGAAAAGAAAAATCAATTTTCTTGAATCAAATGAACTTTCTTATCCAACTTTTTTTAGAACACTGTCAAAAAGGGTGTCAAAACAAAATAAATAGCTTTGGAAACAAGGAAAATTTCCTCACCATGCTGATTTATTTTTTCCCTTGTTTAAAAGGCCTGTTATATAATTCTGAAGTACAAATGAGTGTATCTGCGGGGGTTTGATTGCTGATCAATACCAATGACTCACCGATTACTTTGCAAAGCACTTGAATTTACTGACTTAACTTACTTTTCTGCCCACAGTCACATTGTTTTCATTTGCCAATGACAAGGAGATATGCAGCATGTGAAACACCAGTGTTACAATACATTTTGTTATGTTACATAATGATATATGAGGTGTTTCATTTCTATTACAAATCTGGTCTAATCAGCGTGCTTACCTCTGTTGTGAAAATTTCACTTTTATGTTTCTGTCCATTACTGACAGCCCTGTGCTTACCACAGTAGATAACTCATTAATAAAGATATCCTTTGAAGCCCACGACTAAATATAGACACAGGCACCATACAAGACATTTGTAAATACTGTGCATAATGGCATAAGAGCAATTGCACAGACACATACAGTATACACACATTGAAAGTTAGTCCTCACAATCAACAAACAAGCTTTCCCACAATGTAATAAGACACCCCCAAATAACAATTGTATCAGCTACTGCAATCATGCCTTACACATCTCGAGTTTATTAGCGTCCCTCATGATAACATGACATAGCTGTGTGCCTCTTTACCCAACACCTAAATCTCTTTGTCTGGCATGTTTGCCTATTGTTCTTTGCGGATTAGAGCAAGCCCCACAGTTTTGATTACAGCAGCCCCACTGAGTTACAAAGTCTACCCGCCGCGTTTCTATATTTAACTTGTTGTCTGTTTGCTACCACTCACTGCGCTGTGCTCCTTCTTCCAGAGTCGGATCCGCAGGATGTGGAACGACACAGTTCGGAAGCAGACAGAATCTTCTTTCATGGCGGGAGATATCAATAGCACCCCAACACTCAACCGCGGTAAGGCCTCCCTCTATCACTGCTCTGCTTCTCCACCGTTAATTTATGCACGTTTAAATGCACACAAACACATAGATTCTAACACACTCATATACACAACTGAACCAAAACACATAAAGCATGGGAACAGAGTGGACAGAGCCAGGGTAAAGCACTGTTATTCAGTGTTTAATGTACTCATATGACAGTATACAGGATGAACAATATGTTCACATGCCTGGAGTATTAAGGTCAACTAATGATTCAGATTGCCTTGCAGCCAGTGAGCAGCAATAGATGTAGCTTAAATTGAATAACATATTGTTCAGTGCTGGTTGGTGGGTGGTGGGTTTCAGTTTGTAGTGCAGTGGCAGCTGCTGGTCAGTGAAAGCACTAAGATATATGGAGCTCAAACACTGTTTTGTAAATATGTGTGTGGGTGTGCCACTGATGTTAGTGAGTTCATATTCCTGCCTGAACCTACCCAATAAACTCCTGTACGGTAATAAAACAGATTTAAGTGTATTTATAATTTCAAAGTCAATAATACTAATTTAATTTACATAAAGTCACTTGACCACATCGTAGATCACATAGTGGTAGAACAAATACTCAGATCTTTTACCTAAAATATACTTACAATAGCTAAAATTCTAATTTTCCTACCAAGTAGGTTTGATTCCTGCTTTGTAAATATATGTTCTTCCTATTTAGAGTGTATTCTCCACATAAGGTCTAGGAATATATCAAAGAATTGCATGTGTTGTCACACCGTCATTATAGCAAAATACTGTAATAGCACTGTGCGATGCGATATCCTGAGATTGCCGGCCCTAGTTTGAACTGCTCTTAGCCTTCTCATAGTTGCATGGGATCAGTCACCTGAATGCAGTGACACATGTAGTACCCTCTGAACCCCACACAGCACATGAATACGGTACTAGCAGTTATTTAAGACTGGAAGAAAAAAAAATGTGTGTGGAGTCACTGATTGTCTCAGCCTCAGCAACTGGTGGCGTCACCGCCGCACCCATCGGTGACATAGATCAAGGTTGGCTCAGGTTCTGAGTTGGAGCGGGTGGGGGTGGGGGTTGTTGATGATGACACAGAGGCAGTTGCTAAATCAGCCGTCACTCTCTATGCTAATTTCATCCATTTTCTTTTTAATGAACTGATTAGCGTGTGAGCGAACAGGGGGTAATTATTCTAATTGAGGAGAGTGACAGGAGCAAGGCAGGGGGTGAGGAAGAGGGGTGCTACGAATGAGCTGGATGGATGAGAGGTGTGTGTGTGTGTGTGTGTCTGTGTGTCTGTGTGTGTGCGTCGGGCGGGTCGGTTTCCGGAGCTTTTCGTCACGATAGAGCAAACACCAGGCCTGGTGGAGACACAATGTGGATCAGTCCATGTTGCGCTGTCAAACACAAGCAACTGTGCTGTGAAGCCTTTATTTTCTGTGCTTCTGAGAAAAGTTTGTCAGTTGGCAGAAAGTGAAAGACGAAGGGGAGCACGAGGGAGGGAGAGGAAAAGAGAGATATAGAGAGATATATAGAGAGAGAGGCGCTATCATGGAGGAGTAATTAAAGCAGCCGAATCTGGAGAAGAGATGCTGCGTCGTTATCACTGGCATCTTGGATCTCTTTGATTTCTCCACTTCACTTCTTTATGAACTACAATCTCCTCCTGACAATAGTAATGTGTCCAGAAGATGAGGCATGCAGTACACACACATACACACACACAACACTTTCTTGTTCTCTTTATTGGTCTGATTTTCTCTTTCCTGTTTATTTCTTTTCTGCTCCTATCTTTTATAAGTAGTTTTCTGTTTTTTTCTACAGGATATTCCTATGAGGTACACACAGACAGCTAATCCCAACTAATTTGGTGTTGTTTGTTAAAAATTCTGGCATGAGGAACTGAGAAAATGTGGTTGAGTCAAGACACAGCAGAACGAGCCAGAAAATGGAGGGAGAGGGGTTTGTGTGGCATGCCAGAAAGATGGACAGGGGAAGTGTAAAAGGAGGGGAAATGACAAATAAATAGCTGTGTTCGAGTGCATATTTTATTTTTTTAGAATTCCCTGCTCCCTCGCTGTGTGATGAACGGTAGTCGTGAGACCTGAAGGTTGCACTTTGCCTTGGTCTACTCTCCGTCATGCTGTCCTATTTTTAATTTCATGGCATTTCTGTTTGAGTTGCCTCAGGCTGGAGCCATACATGGGCATTATACAACATTTTCAGTGTGCCATTTCTTTGAATTATATTTGTCTTGTAGTGGCATTCACATTTCATTGGGAAATTAACTGTGTTTCAATGGTTGCACCCCTAGACTACATAATGGCATGCATTACTGTTCTCCCCCATCTGACTACATTGTCAGGAGCCAAAAGAGAGAAAAAAAAAGAATGGCAATGCTCCACACAGTACCTTTCCCCTGCAATTGTATTTTTACTCAAAGGTTACAATCAGCAGGCATAAACATTGAGGAGAACACTGTGAAATGCATTACTCCATAAAGCACCGACATAACAAAAATAGCCCCATCTGAATAAACAGTAAATATTTTTATGATTCCAGATGTTATTACTGAGTCTGGAAACGTGAATTTCAAAATGTTACACCTATTGTGAACAGTGTTTCTGCTTGTGCTTGCTTTGCATACATTTGAGGCAAAGATAAGAGCCTATTTCTGATCATGCTCATTTTTTAAATGTGTGTGTCTTGCAGCGACTATGGGCAACCACCTTTTGACGAACCCGGTGTTACAGACTCGCACTGGTACCTCTCCTTACAACACTCTGCTGGCTGAGAGCTTCACCCCGCCCTCACCTGGCGTCTTCAACTCTACCGGTTAGCTCTTCATAAACGCTCCAGTCTTTGTGTGTAGTCTTGGCGGCACGCGTGTGTATATAAAGTGTGCACGCTTCTGTCTGTTACTCTGTCAGTATTTTGACACGCATACACAAACTCACTATTGTATTTGAGGGCACGTGTGTGTGTGTGTGAGGGCCTGTTTGTGTGTTGTTTTTTTTCAGACTATGTAGCTGTCAGACGGATTCACTAGGCTGAGCATAACAGAGCCAAACAGTGCCTACAGCCTAACCAGCCATCTGGTCAGATCTTGAATCTTCATGAGAACAGCCACAAATTGATTAGAAGTTTAGCTACAGCTGTGACTGCCAGAAATCTTGAGGACAGTTTTTCTGTTCCCAGACAGAAAAAGTAGTCATTTTAAATCATAACGGCCATAGAAAGGGATCAGACAGCTCTGTGACCAGGGACGGTCCATCTAAGTGTAGGCCGGTCAGGTGTGAGTGCTCACTGTAAGTGCCTGTGTGTGTGCATACTGGCTTCTATCTCAGAGCGGGACTCTTTCAGCAGCCTAATGGCTGTTTTATCAAATTGCTGCATGCCCACACCACGCTTTGGATGCCCTTAACTGCTGAATTAGCTATGTTCTGGTAATTGCTCCTCCACAGTACCAATATTCACTTGGTAAGCGAGAACTATGCCTGTGTGTGGCAGGTCGCTGGCTGACTATGCAGCCGCAGAGTATCAGGCCCAGTGTCTGAGGACTGAAATTTAAGGCGGCGTTTCTGTTAAATATTTTAAAGCCCCTCCGTACAATACGTCAAGCCTGATGGCCACAGGCCTGGCAGCCAAGACATTTTTAGAAGAGAGTGGGAGAGGAAGTAGGGAGAGCACTTCATTAGAATGTCTAATTACCCACACCACCACTGAAGAAGAACGTTGATTAAAGTCACACAACACATTACATGTAAAAAATTAACACGCTTCTCAATTTTTGGATTTCTGGCTTTTGCTTTTCTGTGTGATGGTAATTTGGGAGAGAAAGCACACAATCGTTGGTGTGTTCAAGGGAAGTGGTAAAATTAACATTACTGCTACTTTACAAGGTTTTTTATGAATTATGTATGTATCCAGGTATCACTGAGAGTAGTAAATAAATAAAAGAGTATCTTCTGTGGCTTAGATGTAAATGTTGGAGGAATATGATGTCAAACAAACACGACTAAGTCTGCATAAATCAGAGTTAATGTGATTGTGCGTGCGGTAAGATTTGGAAGGTTGGATATGAGAGAGGCAGAGAGAGAAAAAAGAGCGGATGGACAAGGATATTATTTATTCCATTAATGGTTCCCTTTTTGAATGTCTTGAAAATGAATACATCAAGTTAATGTTGCATCATTAAAGAACACTTACTGACTAGTGTCTCTCTTTTTATTCACTCCACATGACTTTCTCTGGTATACACAGGAACGTTCCGTGACCCAAGTAAGTCTCATTCACCTTAGTTCACATCACTCTAAGCTACTCCAGCTTAAACTTTACCATCTGATATTTGCTCTTCTTCTCTTACTGACAATTGAATGTGACTCAATGATAATGCCAAAACCCTCTGTCTTCTGTCTCTCTTCTGTGTTTGGGTCCAGAGAGCACGTTATCTAAGGCCCGTGACCCCTGTGGGATGGAAACTCTGCCCCTGAATGGTAACTTCAACAACAGCTATTCCCTGCGCAGTGGCCCAGCCGGTGGAGGAGGGGGCAGCTGTGACTTCCTTGGTGGCGGGGGTGGAGAAAGTCCTCCACCACTCTTCAATCCTCGCAGCTCAGAGACTCTTGGAGGCGGAGGCATCCGACGAAACCTCTCAGATGCCGCAGCCTTTGAGAAAATGATCATCTCTGAGCTTGTGCACAACAACCTGAGAGGTGGTGTTGGAGGAGGAAGTGGAGGAGGGGGAGGTGACGCAGGTGACAGGGTGTGTGGCAGTCTGGCCAGGGGACGTCCACATGGTGGGGTTGGTCGGGGGACAGCAGGGCCAGGGCCAGAGCCATCTATGGGTATGGATGAAGACGAGGACTTTATGAGAGAGGGCCGACAGCGCACTCCGCAGGATGTGGAGCTGCTTTATAAAGCTCTGGAGGAACCCCTGCTGTTGCAGCGCGCCCAGTCGGTCCTCTACCAAAGCGATGCAGAGGAGTCAGAGAGCTACACGGCCGACCTCACTGAGAGCCTAGGCCACAGCGGCCACAGTGGCCAGAGTGCTGGCGGGCAGGGAGACAACAGAGCACCAGATTCCCCTGCCCGTGACTCCCTGTACACCAGCATCACCAACCTGCGAGACTCACCCTACCCTGACAGCAGTCCTGAGCCCCTGGAGGTGGTGCCCCGTTCTGCCCAGCCCCCTGAGGAGCTGTACTACAGTTCCGGGAGGCCTGCCCTAGGCTCTCGTGGGGCCCCCATGCAGACCTTCTACCAGGCCCCACCCCGGAGACCGAGTGGGGAGGGACACCAGGCTCAGGAGCCTGCCCACAACGAGGGAGACGGACAGATGCAGCTGGTCACCAGCCTGTGACTGGAGCCTGAAGGAGGAAGTTGGGGACTAATGTGATGGCCAGAGCCGCCTCCTAGCCCGCCTCGTTCTCGCGTCTCTCCACTTTCTGCTTGTTTGGTTGCCTTTCTTTCTCTTGACTTTTATTTAACTAACAGATGAGCAAACAGAGTGACCTTCAGGTGGAGTCGTGGCTGACTCTGCAGAATCAGCCTTTATCTTTAACCCTCCCCTGTCTTATAGTGATAAGTGATGGGTGTTTTTCAGCAGAGCATTCATCAGCTCTCTCCAATCCCAGTCCTCCACAGTTCCTTTGGTACCCTAAGGCCAAGTCCAGCACTCTGAATGTACCGATCCACCCCCTTTACCTTCAGATATTTCAAAACTTTAAAACTTTGTTAAAGTTTTTTATGTAATTTCTCTTTAGACCTGCCTCCGGAGATGGGAAATATAATTTTATATTTTATCTCATTTCCGTTTCGTACCATCCATAGGTCTTTTTTGAATCATCATTTGATAGGAGTAGTTAGCTGTGGAGACAGGGAATATAGTACACTATTATAACCTAAAAAATGTCTCGCAGAAAGCTCTTCATTGTTGCCAAAAATATCTTTTATTGAGCCAGAACAGAAACTAGAACATTCACAAAGCAAACACATACACTCACTCATCCAGAAGTGCTCATTACTGAACATCAAAAATGAAAACAGTACTCCATCTAAGTAAAAGGGAGCAAGAGCTTTTGTTCCTAGCAGGCAGTGGGAGCTGATTCAGTGTAGTTGCCTTCATTTTCTCTTGCTGTGAATCGACAACTATGTACAGAAGTGGAGTTGAGGCAAAAAACGGAGACTGAGGAGGCGCTGCACCACCCCTCCTGAGCAGGAGAGCCTGCATCCATAAGACTGGCCAGTTCTCTCCACTCTCTGGTTGTTTGCTTTAGGCATTTGAAAAGTTAAATGACTGCCTTGCTATTGTTTTGAAGAGAGTATTCAATTTGTTGACTTTGGGTCTGCATCCTGTGGGGGCGGCAAATGCGGACTGGTGTTGCCCCCTCCCCTTCTACGCTGTACTTTGCTGTTAGAGCCTAGCCAGTTGAAGTGGACTTGTTTCCTGTGTGTGGTTGTGACAAGCAAGACTGTAAAAGTTGCAAACACACTGGTCGACCAATTGGTATAACTGTGTACATAGGAACCACACATGAATCTACTTTATTCCTACTATGTAAATAGAGACACCAGATGATCAAAAGCAACAAAAAGTAACAAATACTATGAAAAATGACTTCTTGTACTGCAACAAACCGACGAAAGAAAAAAATAAAATGTTTTGGAGTTTGTGACCTGAATGATACACTCTATCTCTCTCCCCCGTTGCTTGATCTCTCGCTCTTGTGCCCCAGCACTGTGCCATTCAGTGAAAAATCTTTAGTGATCCAAAGGAGAGAGAAAGGCAGAGAGAGAGACAGATTATAATGTGTAATAGATTTTATTTATACAAATGAAAAATGAAACAAAAAAATCCTGGCACAATTTTTATGTAATATAATCCGTTACATGTTGTTAATGTTTGACCTTTGACATTCCCAGGATGGAATTGCAGAGGGCAGCAAGGGGCGGGAGGTGTGGGGCAAGCGAGATAGATGTCGTCAAATGTCATACTGTGCCTCGCAGGCACGATAAAGCATTGTGGGTGAACGACAGCATCCATAAAGTGATTTGGTTTGTTCTTGTATTATTTGGAAGATATAACCAGATTACATACTTTTAACAACATGGGTTTTAGCATGTACAATAATGACATTTGTTTTGTTATCAGAGAATATTGCATTTTGCTGTTTCTTAAAGATAGTTTCAGCATTACTCCAGAGCCTAATGTGACAATTCATTAATTTCCTGTGTGCATGTGTTTGTGTGCATGTGTGTAAGTATGAATGTGTTTGAATGACTGGTTGTGTGTATTAAGTTTCCAGTGTGTGTGCGTGCTGTGCACCAGACTTTTAAATGTGCACACACATTTGAAAGACTATTTTTTGTGACATGACTTGAATGCATATCAGACAAGGGGGGATACTCATCTCAGAGAGCTGCCATTACTTCTCTGCCTCAAATGGAAGTTGCTCTTGCCGTGGCGTTCAGGTATGAGGAGAAATCAGACCGCCCCGGGAGACATGAGATAACCATATACCATGAAAATGACAAGCAGGGTTGACCGATTGGGAGGAACATGTTTCCAATATGCCACCTTATGCAAGCGATACATTTGAGAAATTAGCTGTCAAGAGAGAGACGCTCGTGAGGCTTCTTTCATCCAGCTGAAATCTGTCTGACCTTTAAAAAAAATGAGAGTTTGCCTTCTTCTACGCTGTATTTATAGGTATTTGTTATGGTTTATTTATCAGTTTTTATGTATGTTTTTGGAATATTTATTCACATTGATTTATTCATGGCATTGGGTTTTTTCTTTCCTTTCGACTGTCTCCCTCGTAAACCTGCGCCTAGCAAAAGATTGGGATGTGTGGACAGAACGTGAGCAGAAAATAAATGCATCCACTGCAGTGTGACATTTGGCTAGGGCCCGACTGTCCCACTTCTAAGAGAACCCAAAGGACAGCTTTTAGCTGTGGCTCCTGGGGCTGAAAGAGAGAGAGGGTTAAAGACAGATAAGGGAGAGGGATTACAAGGATTTGCCACCATTTATTCTTGTTATTCAAATCACTTGTGTAAGTAACATTGTATGGGCCATGGAACACGATGAGGCTCAGAAAGAAGGCCCTAGTATCATCACTTGAGCCATAGGGGGAACATGTGCAATACTGGTTTGATGGTAGCTGACTTGGATTTGCAGCTGACCCTGGGAGCTGTCGGTGTTTACAAATGAAAAGACATTATGCACATGTATTCTGCTCTGCTGCAGTGCTGGACAATGTGAAGCACAGATCTTATGGCTCAGTGGTGGGGCACCGTACCGGAGCAGCACTCGCTGGTCAACTGAGGACAACTGAATGTATTTTAACAAGCAGGATTGAAGATCAAACAATTCACTCCAGGGTGGAAGTGTTAATGGGAAACACAAGGCAGCCATCATCATCTTTCTCCTCATCACTCTCATCACCATCATCATTAACTTCATCCCTCTCTCATTGTATTTGACATAATATGCTGATGCTGATCTCTACTGCTCAGCTGGGACCCACCCCAGGGAGAAACACTGTTTAGACAGACACTCCCCATGAGAGGAGGAATGTGCGTCACCTAGGGCCTGCTTCTCTTTTTTCCAGCACCTCCCAGCTCCTTTTCTTTTCCTCCCTCTTCTGCCATCTCATCCACATTTTAATATCAATCTCAATGGACTCCATTAGTGCAGCACTTCTTTGAGAGTGTTAATTTGTTTTGTCAAAAGCTTTGTTTATCCCAGATTAATATCTCAATAAACAAAGGAGTGCTGTACTGTGGTAAATGATAGTGATTATACAGTAGAAGGTCTGCGGCCCGTGCTGTCGGACGGAGGCTAACACAACGGGAGTTTCTCCACCATTCAAAGCCCTCAAAACCTCTGATTACAATAATAACTCTGTGGGTACTAATTTACTGCAGTGAACTCACCCTCACTCTCTTTTCTTTTCTCTTTTTCTGTCTCTGCCTGCAAATGTTTAACACAACTCCCATTCCTTGCCACCGGCAAGCCTGACGTGGGTGTGCTCCAATGGTTAGGTGGGAAGTTGTTTAAAAGGTGGGATGCCGAACTTTTGACATAATGCTGTCTCACCCCTGCAGCTCAGTGTCAGTGGAGAGTGAGCTGTGGCATTGTTCAGTCTATCATTAGACAGCAGAGGTCCCAGCAGGCCTACAGTCCGTTTACTTGCTGTTGACCCTTTTTCTTCTTACCAGTGATTTGTGTGGTGCATATCACACCAGGAGAGCAGTTGGGTGGTGGGGGTGGTG